TTTTTGACTGACACCTATACAAAATACTTGGATAAAAGCCAGCTAAGATTTTCTGTTATCTTGCATGTTTTATGAATCTATTCACGTCTAAATGCAGCACTTTTTTTTGCGATGAGGCATTTGTTTTTATACTAAAATATCTGAATTACTTTGAATAAAGCTGGAAATTATGTCCCTTAAAATAATTAAACAAATAAGGCACCAATGTTTTTGTAAGATATTTACATCTTTAAAGGACATTCCGTAGACTGATTCCCCACTGTTGGTTCAACCCCAAAACTTGTTTGTATTCAAAATTAATTATGACAATGCATATTTATATTGAAACAAAATATGTTAAAGGGAATTATATTATATAACAAAGGGCAAGGTCACCAGAGTTCAACTATGTTTAGATCTCTTATCAGAGACACTTGAAGGATTAGCTTGTTTGTAAACTGTCAGCGTGTACAGTGGGACAGTAATGTTTGTCAGAGGATTATCCCTCGTTGTTCGTTTGCATAACAATGAAAACCCAAACGTTCCTGGAGTACGGACTCAAATGCCAGCAGTTTTCTTCATTTTTCACGCTCCAGCTTGAAATTATTCATTATCTGACACTCTATATGAGTTCTATGATATCAGTGGTTAATATGTTTGGCCATTTTTAGTGTATATTCATATTAATGCAGCAAGTCTACAATGTTTAATTAACCAGCTAACTGTTTTTCGTGTTTTTCTCGAGTTGAAGTTTTGATTGAGTACGACTCATTGGGAACGCCACCAAATCAAGTGCATTCGGACTAGAACATTCAAACTCACAGTTATCGTTCAAAAGATAATGATGGTGCGAAATATGTCTGGGTTTTTAAAGAAAATGCTTTGTCACAGAATAATAGTCTGTTAAAGGTACCAAGTATGAAATAATTTGGGGACAAAAAAACAAACCTGTATAGAAATCGGAATAATAGGTCTTTTGATTACCGCGGACACATTTCAATGGACTTGATTACAGACAATGCATGACGTAAATTTCACCAGGAAATTCCGCAGTGTGCTCTCGCAATCGCGGACTTAGTAATTTTTACAAGATTCGCCATTTTTGATGTCACGTGATAATTATGTAAACAATGACTGTCCAGTTTGTGCGAACTTGTACCTCTATACTTAGTCTTTTGAAATATATAAGCTAAATTACTGTTCTGAACAAGACAACAGACAGAGAATGTTTTATTCGAAAACGTCACAAAGCCCTTTTCGCTACCTTAATAGAAGATAAATTTCCAAACTGGTTGGAGGAGGGGGCTGTTTTAGAAGATAAATGGTCCCTGTGGGACTGGATAAAATTTTGCATTAAGAAAACAACAATACAGTATTGTAAACAAGAGTAGGGAAAGGGCAAAAAAAAATCTCAAACTTAGAATGTAGCTGTACTATTCTCGTGGAGCAGTTAGCTGAATATCAAATGAACACCAGTTCAAGTTTATTCAATTACTTATATAGGCTCTTAATTTATGCATACAATTCATTCAGGTGGGAATGCTATTCATATGTAAACTAGATCACTACAGTAGCTTAGAAGAATTAGAATCTAAAATGGGTGAAGATCCAACAGTAGAAATTATAAATGAACATGAAAAAATTAAAAATGATCTACAACGTGAATATGATGTCATCACTGATGGCATGAATATAGATCTAGGGCAAATTGGGTGGAAATGAGGAAAAAAATAATAAATACTTTTTACAATTAGAAAAGTTGAACAATGTGATGGCACATTCATTTCTACTACAAAAGAAATCAGTATAGAAATAAAATCATTCTACCTCTATTCCTCTGGTTTGGACATTTCCAATGAAAATTTCAACCCTCTACAAGTATCGTTTTTAGAAAATGTAGAAGTCCCACAATTAACAGAGGAACAAGCAATAACATGTGAAGGTAAAATTACATTAGATGAAGCCGTTGACCCCCGGAAATGATGGGTTTATAGATTTCTATAAATGTTTCCGAGCTCTTTGAATAAGGCTTACGAAAAAGGCTAATTATCTCACACACAGCGTCAAGGGGATTTGTTAAAATTTGATATAACAAACTAAGGGGAAAAGATGATAGGGGTGAAATTCACAGACTGTCATATCCATATATTAAACAATGTACTGCACAACAGGTTACTCCAGGTATTATTGCTCAGGGCTTCATCGCTCCTAAATCAGAAAGTATTTTGGCAGATTTTTTAAATGAGGCAATACATGAATGGAAATATATATATCGTTTGCCATTTAAATTAACAATTAAGAGAGTTCCAGTGGAAGGTTAATCATAACCTTCTCACTACAAACATAAGATTACACAAAATTAGACCTGAAATTTGTGAAACCAAGCTATGTACATTTTGCCAGGGGGAGGATGAAACATTAATACATCTTATGGTTGATTGTCCATTGGTGAATATTTTTTGAACAAATTTCTCAGAAAATTGGGGCAGGAATTTTGGGCGAAGATGCTTTATTAACGCAGTGTCAATAGTGTTGGGAAACTCGCTGTTCCCAATATTACAAAATTTTTTAATATTGATAGCAAAGAGGTATATTTACATATGTAGATGTCAAAATAGAATTCCCTATTTTAAGCCTTTTGAACCATTTCTACACAATATACAAAAAATAGAATATATAATAGCCAACAAAAAAGAGGAACTTGAGCAGCACCTTAAAAATGAGGCAAGTTCCTTGCAATATTGGCAAAGTAATACACTGGGTTTATTGGTTGAAAATATTGATGTGACATAATATTAAGACCACATTTGTGTCAATCACATTTTAATGTCTGACATAGTGTATGAACAGTTAGTTAAAGATTGTACTTTTCTATGATGTAATTTTTCCACGATGCAATGTATGTACTACATGTAAGTTGTTGTACTATTGTACTAAGACTCAATAAAAGTTTATTAAACATAAAAAAAAAAAAAAAAAAATTAAAGTAAACCCTACTACTACTACTAATAACAATAAAATGATACAATAAAACAATACTCATCATCAATATTGTCAAGCATTCCTGAATGAAGTTTTATCTTTCTATGTTTGAACAAAATCATTTTTTATGTAGAATTATGCATATGAAGAATATAGTTCCTTTTATAGCATAATATATATGTAACACTTTCCGAAATTGTTCTTATTTTTATTACAGAAGTTGAAAAGGAGGCTTGTGATGTATATCTGGCAAAGAGATCAGTTGTTACTGATGAACTCCTGTTTGCATTTGGTTTAGATTTGGCAAAAGAACTGGCAGAGGATCCTATTTTATCAGAGATAAGGAAAGAAAAAGAAGAACCTGAGATGCAAGACAAGGAATTCAGCAGCAACTCAAAACCTAAAGCTGAGACAACCAATCAAGGTAGTGCTACATGCGCTCCTACATCTGCATCAATGCCAAATTCAACTGGAGCTTCTTTTGTGAAGGTGGTTTCTATGGCAACAACAGCAATGTTCAATCAACCTCCAGTAAATATAGCCAGCACGAAACTAGCAGCCCAGTATGTACCGGCACAGCATCCAATAAAACGAGTACGTCCACATCAAATAACTGTACAGCATCTTCTTCAATCTGCCAGACAGCAACGCATAGTTAGTATACAGCAGCAACAGATTGCCAGACAACCAATCTCCATGGTAGTGCAACAAACATTCTCTTCACCTGCTCCAAATACTCCAGTTGCTCCAGGTGCTGTGGTTGCTAGGCAACCTATGGTTGCACCTCAAAGTGCTTGTCATGTGGTTCATCCACCTGATATTCTCTATATCAAAATGGTTCATAATCTTGAGCTGTATCGCTGTGCTAGATGCTATGCTGCAATGGCTCACACTTACCCAAATGCAGGCGTTCTACAACCAGCTATCCTTGATATTGTGGTAGAACATGTCAAAATACAACATAATGTCACTAATTTCACATTAGTGAGCAAATCGCCAGCATTTAAGTTCTATAGATGTGTGCATTGTACATACCAGACATTCCGCCATGCTACCATATTGATGCATCTATCCACTCTCCATCCACACTATATTCCCGGCACATCAACAACCAGTGAAGTTGCTTCCTGTAAAGATGCCATCAAAACTATCAAACCCAATGGTGAATCAGTTTACAAATGTAGACGTTGTCCTTATGAAGGCAGCACAATCATGGCAATATCATACCATTGTGGCCTTAAACACAATTCTCATCTAAAGTCTGAAGTAACTGTTCCAAGGGTCAGTGTTGTTGAATCGGTCCAACTGCCAATGTTGGTTTGTACAAACTGTTCTTTTTCAACTTCCAACAGATCAGTGCTGACAAGTCACATGAAGTATTGCTCAAGATTGGTTGGTGAGAATGAAATTATGTCAACGGCCAAGACTGTAGACTATGTCACTGTTAAAACATATGGTGGCTCTACACAGTACACCTGTAAACACTGTACTTATAGAACAGAGAAACTGATGTCTATAACCTACCATGTGAAGAAGAACCACCAGGGATCTGATGTATATCGATGTAAGCTCTGCCCCTTTGCATCTTATGTATCCGCTACATTAGTTGCACATTATCATGAACATCATTATGGAGTCATCCCCGGGACACCGGATATGCGAAATGATATTGGTCCAGTATTTGAAATTGACAGCACCAACAGAGAGATCAGTGTCAACTTTGCTGTACTCCAGCGATGCAAGCTATGCATGTTGATGTTTTTAAAAGTAGAAGAATGTGAAATGCACATTCAAAAAGCTCATGCATCTTTTGCTAAGAATCCACAGAACTGTCACGACAGAGTTAAATTGCCCAATTCATGCCTTCCGACTCAATTACTGAATGATCTTTCTTTAAATGGTCATTGTTGTGGTCATATACCACCTCAGGCAGCACAATTATGCCAATCAACGTCACAGGAAATGTTTATAGGATCTGCATGTACAACGGGTATGAAAGCACAGAAAAGGAAATCAACAACATGTGGAAAATCTGACATTGGTTCTAAAAAGAAAGTAAAGATAGGTAATTGTACTGAGAAGAAAACTGCAAAATGTGACAATGGGGACGAAACTGCTGAAATGGACACTGATAAAGTCATGCTTGACTATCTCATCACATTGACTGAAAGTCAAGGAAGGACTGTCTCATTTGGTTGTGATACTTGTGAAGAGAGTTTCATGAGATATCAAGCATTCACAGCACATAAATGTTTTCAACATGATTCTGAAGAATGTCAGTGTTTAGTTTTTGTGCCAAAGAGTACGGTGTTAAGACATTTTGAAGCAAGTGACAATCCATCCAAGTGGGTATGTAATATATGCCGTATTTTGGTCCACAAAAACATAAATCTCCCCAAACATCTCAGCAAACATTTATTACCATCTGTACAATTAATGTTCAGTGGAGAGTTGTCAAAAAAGAAGAATCAGTCATTGAAGAAGCACATGCAACCTCAGCAGGGTAAAAATAACTGGTCGTGTGTTTCTGATCATCGTGGGTCCTCTGAGGATTTCATAGAAGTAGACCTGAGTTGCTATTACAAGTGCACGTCAAGGCTCAAGTCACCAGTGAAAGCCTCAAAATTGTATGCCTGTAAATCTCGAAAGTGTTGCTTTGAATCTGACTTCATGGAAGAAGTGGCAGGTCATCTTGGTATTCATCTGAAGTGTGAGATTCTATTCAGACCAAGTAACGGGAAACTGATCATGAAAAAAGATGACATCCACACATTCTTTGAAGCACAGAATAGAGGTAGTAAAAAGCGTTTTCGTTATTGCTGCACACTGTGTGGTTTAAATGTGACTGCTTCATCAATAACGCAACACCTACAACGATGTCTGCTGAATCCACCGGCTGGAAAGACAGAGACTGAAGACGTGGAGCAAGAAACTTCACCAGAAACATCATTGATGAACGAAATAGAAAACACAGATAAGGAACCAGTGGAAATGAACACACAAGAAGCAATCAACCATTTTATTCCTGTCTTTGATATGAAAACTAAAAACTTTAAATTTGTTTGTATATTTCCTGATTGTACATTCCAATTGCAGAATGCAGATTTGGCGACCTTTCACCTCACCTCACACATAAAACGCAAGATCATCCCAGTTATGACTCCTGTAAACATCCCAGACGAGGAAACCTTGAAATTTTTCAAAGAAACCAACATAAAAGATATTGGATATCTTTTTTGTAAAGAAGACAACTGTTCCTATCATGTATTGATTGAAGAGGGTTTTATACAGAAAGCAAAAGAGCACCGACGTGAATGTCACAGTCTTATGGATGATGTGTGGACCAATGACACAACATGCCTTACAGTCCAAGTGAATGATATTAAGTCTTTTTTTCCCAAGTCTGGTGAGGCTTTAATTCAGAAGGGGGAACAAAGCTATTGGGTTCCTATTTTGCAATGTCATCACAATTGTGGATTTCAGGCACCATGTGACAAATATGCCACATTTGTTGAACATTTTGAAAGTCACATGGAGTCAAAGATTAGGATTATACACTCAGCTTCTCAGAATGATGTAGTGTCACATAAGGAGAAGGCCAAACCAAGGAGGGATAGGGCAGAGATAAAGTCAGCTGATTCATCTGGTAATAGTTGCAGGTCAAAGATAAAGTCACATGACAGTTGCAGTTCAAATATAGTGTTGAATGATTCTTCTGACGGCAATGTAAGACCCAGTATGAAGGCAGGTGATAAAGGTGACATTCTAAAGTGCAGGTCAATTGTGAAGGCTGATGCATCACAAGATAATTGTGTGTCACATTTGAAATCCGATAATGCTTCATATGATAGTGACAGACCCCAGATAAACTCTGATGACACACCAGAGGGCAGCAAGAAGGATGAAACAGCATTTCAGGAGACCAAGATGTTGCTCAAGGATGTGATATCCCACTATGATGAAGAGATCATTAATGTGCGTACATCCACCGTATCTTATGGCAAACCACAGTACACTTGTAAAAAGTGTGATTTTCAAACTTTGAAAGCCTCTGCTTTGTCCACCCACCTTGAAATACATCTTGGTCAAAAGATCATTGTTATAAGTTCACATAAAGTAAGGAATTATGTGCAACCAGTATTTCAGTTAAAATCACCAATACAAAATAAAGCTGAGAAAAAGAAGGGTAAAATTAAATTGGCTACTACACGGATGGACACATCAACAAAATATTATGCTAGGAAGAAAAAGGAGGTTTTGCGAAAAAAGTACAGTTTGAACAAAAAAGCCAAGGTTGGAAAGAGTGCAAGGAGAAGAAAGAAACTTGGAAACAGTGGCATAGAGAAAAGTAAGAAAACAAGTCAGGATGGAAGTGTTTTGGATTCTTTAACGACTGATACTGGCATGACTGAGATGAACAAGCAGAGGGTATCAAGGAGGAAAAGCAGTAGGCCACAAAAAATTGTCAAGTTTGGAAATTCAGGAAGTGACTCAAACAAAGCACAAAATCAGAGTATAAAAATTAAGATAGAACCTGAGGAAGTAGTTGCAGCTTCAGCAGAACCTCTCAAGACTGTTGAAAATTCTGCCTTCCAAGAAAGTATACGTGAGCTGAAGACATGGGTTCAAACTAGTAATGCTAAGATTAAATTAACCTTGAAGGAATGTCTATATTATTTTGAGGAAGACTTACAGATGAAGGAAAAACGGGGTAAACAAAAGATGTCCTATGCCAAAGTACTGTACACATGCAAAGGTTGTGACTTTAAAAGTGATAATGCAGAGACTATGCCCGGACATATTGATTTCCATATGGCTAATCTGGTATGAGTAGTTGAGAAATAAGTCCATGCCCGGACATATTGATTTCCATATAGCTAGTCTGGTATGAGTAGTTGAAAAATGCGACCATGCCTGGGCATATTGATTTCCATATGGCTAATCTGGTATGAGTAGTTAAGAAATGAGACCATGCCCGGACATATTGATTTCCATATGGCTAATCTGGTATGAGTAGTTGAGAAATGAACCCATGCCCGACCATACTGATTTCCATATGGCTAATCTGGTATGAGTAGTTGAGAAATGAATCCATGCCCGGACGTATTGATTTCATTATGTTCGGACATAATGATTTCCTTATGGCTAATCTGGTATGAGTAGTTGAGAAATGAGACCATGCCCGGACATATTGATTTCCATATGGCTAATCTGGTATGAGTAGTTGAGAAATACATGTAAGTCCATGCCCAGACATATTGATTTCCATATAGCTAGTCTGGTATAAGTTGTTGAAAAATGAGACCATGCCTGGGCATATTAATTTCCATATGGCTAATCTGGTATGAGTAGTTAAGAAATGAGACCATGCCCGGACATATTGATTTCCATATGGCTAATCTGGTATGAGTAGTTGAGAAATGAATCCATGCCCGGACATATTGATTTCATTATGTTCGGACATAATGATTTCCTTGTGGCTAATCTCGTATGAGTAGTTGAGAAATGAGACGATGCTCGGATATATTGATTTCCATATGGCTGATCTGGTATGAGTAGTTGAGAAATGTGTCCATGCCCCAACATATTGATTTCCATATGGCTAATCTCGTATGAGTAGTTGAGAAATGAGACTATGCCCGGACATATTGATTTCTATATGGCTAATCTGGCATAAGTATTTGAGAAATGAGTCCATGTTCGAGCATAATGATTACCTTAAGGTATGAGTATGAGTAGTTAAGAAATGAGACCATGCCCAGACATATTGATTTCCATATGGCTAATCTGGTATGAGTAGTTGAGAAATGTGTCCATGCCTGGACATATTGATTTCCATATAGCTAGTCTGGTATGAGTTGTTGAAAAATGAGACCATGCCTGGGCATATTGATTTCCATATGGATAATCTGGTATGAGTAGTTAAGAAATGAGACCATGCCCGGACATATAGATTTCCATATGGCTAATCTGGTATGAGTAGTTGAGAAATGAACCCATGCCCGACCATATTGATTTCCATATGGCTAATCTGGTATGAGTAGTTGAGAAATGAATCCATGCCCGGACATATTGATTTCTATATGTTCGGACATAATGATTTCCTTATGGCTAATCTGGTATGAGTAGTTGAGAAATGAGACCATGCCCGGACATATTGATTTCCATATGGCTAATCTGGTATGAGTAGTTGAGAAATAAGTCCATGCCCGGACATATTGATTTTCATATAGCAAGTCTGGTATGAGTTGTTGAAAAATGAGACCATGCCTGGGCATATTGATTTCCATATGGCTAATCTGGTATGAGTAGTTAAGAAATGAGACCATGCCCGGACATATTGATTTCCATATGGCTAATCTGGTATGAGTAGTTGAGAAATGAACCCATGCCCGACCATATTGATTTCCATATGGCTAATCTGGTATGAGTAGTTGAGAAATGAATCCATGCCCGGACATATTGATTTCATTATGTTCGGACATAATGATTTCCTTATGGCTAATCTGGTATGAGTAGTTGAGAAATGAGACCATGCCCGG